TTCGGCCGGGATTCGAACTTTCATCAAAATTTTGGTTTTTCAAGACGAAATCCACTGCGCCATGAACTCAAAATTTGTCTACTCGCCTCTCTGGACATTAGGAATAATTTTCTTTTCATTTCCCCTCCTCTTGTTTGTACCCGGACTCGAACCCGCGCCAAAAATCCACCCCACAACCAGTTGCGCCATCCGAGCACACTTTCGATTTTTTGCCAAAAACTCGATCCGCTCATCATAACGATCATTTTAAGGGGCGGTTCGAATGGGATTACACCACCCATCTCGCTGTGCCAACTAATTTCCCCCGACAAGAATAATCGGCGCCGTTTTATGGCCCCATGTGGTTTGTGTTTATGCGTCTCTGATATCGGGCGCCGGAATTTATATAACGGTTGTAAATTGCGTCGGGTCTGGATTTTACGAATTTTTTTCGCGGTTCATAATGGATGCCCTCCGGGGAAAAGTGTTTGGATGAATGCGTTATTGCAGAATATGGAGGTTGATGGGCTGTGGATAGGGTGATATATGGCTGGAATATCATATTTAGTACATTGGCGTAGTAGTTTTTTTCGTTACACAGTAATCCCGGGCAAATTTGAACTTTTTTTGACAATTTTCGGCATGCACAGTTTTTGCACTACGAGCTAGTGCAAAAACTGTGCAAGCCGAAAGTTGAGGAAAATTTTTGGGAAATGTTGGGAAACAGCTCTAAATTACTAATTATCTATTAAAAAGTGGTTCTAGAAGTACCATAAGGACTAAATTAAGCGATTCGAAGGTCAACTAGACCAGTTCCCAGCTAAAATAAGATCAAAAATTCAAAAAAAATCCCTCCAAAACCCTTTTCACCACTTAATTTTCGCTCAGCAGGTGCCGCAGCAGCCCTTCACTTCTCCATTTATCGACATAAATTACCGCGAACTCACGAATCCGCAAACATTTATTCGCAATATGAAAACCGAAGGTTCCCAGCGGGAGTGCCGTTAATTCCACCCAACCTAATTGGTCGATGGAGCGCAAACGCTGCTCGGGCGATGACTGTGCGACCTTTGTTGTCCGGGGAGTGGACAACACACCGCTTCGGGTTTGAAACCGAAAAGGGCGCAAAACACGGGCTGGTGCGAAAAAACTTTTTTTTCTTTTTTGTTTCGGAAAAAGATGGGTAAAGTTTCGTTAAGAGTGCAAAAAAAATTCTTTTTCTACCCTAAAAATTTTTTCTTTACCAGCATCTTTAAAGGTTTTGAAATGTTTTTTTGCCCTTTAAAATTGCTGACCTCCACGTTCGCGAATGTTTATTGGGTCGTTCGGGAGGTTTTTCCAAGACCGCAAGGGGTTTAATGACCGGTCACGACAGTTTTTTTTTTTTTATTTTTTTGTTTAGAGAACCTTTAGAATTAATTTTCAAAAATTTTCGGCATTTTTCGTCTTGCACTGTTTTTGCACTACGAGCTAGTGCAAAAACTGTGCGGGCCGAAAGTTGAAAAAAATTTTTGGATTTTTTTTTCTAAAATGTAAAATCTTACAGTACTAATAACAATTCGATATTTTTTCCATATCGAATATAATCTTCGGACTCTAGAAACCGTTTACAGAAAGCTTTTCAAATAAATTTTCAAAAATTTTTGTCACTTTTCGTCTTGCACTGTTTTTGCACTACGAGCTAGTGCAAAAACTGTGCGGGCCGAAAGTTGAAAAAAATTTTTGGATTTTTTTTCTAAAATGTAAAATCTTATAGTACTAATAACAACTTGATATATTTTACATATCGAATATAATCTACGGGCTCCAGAAACCGTTTATTTTGTCCTAAAACCCCCGAAAATGATCGAAATTTGTGTGTTTACGCCGAAATTCCGTCTACTGTCTGGCCGACGGCCCGAAGCAATGTGGAAAAGGTCGTCAGTCAAGTTGGAGGGTCCATTTTCCGGCACTTGCATGCTTTTCCTTCCTTCCCGCATGTGAAGGCCCGCATTTCCGAGGTGGGGAATGCAAATTTGTTTTGCGAAAAATGCAAATCGCCCGCTTTCCGCTCACTTTTCCGACCTCAGTTAAGCATAAGTCCATCCTGAGGCCGTATAAGTCCATTCTCAGTGCATAAAAATTCATTTCGAGTGCTTGCGGGGATCGGCGGTTGAGCAGAAACCGTCCTGCCCGCCGCGACAACGCCGATTGTGCAATATATCCGCCGAGTTCGGGAGCGCAGTTTGATTAACCCTTTTTTTGGCGGCGGTCCCGCAACGAAATGACCTTTCCATTCTCCCCCCATTGTGTCCGGGGTGGTGCGCGAGCGGAGAATACTCTGTTGTACCATCCCTCGCCGCGCGACCCAATAATACTTGAGTTCCCGGCCGTGATACCTCAGCGCGCGACGACGAGGGGCGCGCGAGTTCGGTGGGTAAATGGAGGCGGAGGAAAAAAGCCGATTTTCACTCTTGCGCGACAGCCAAGGGTCGATCGCCGATCACCGCCCCCGAAAGCCAATGCCTTAGGCTTTGGATTAGAACAGGGAGTGGGGAGGAATTTGGTCATCGCGACTGATTTTTTGGACAACCTTTGGAATGCCCTGGATTTTGGATATTTTGGGATAATTTCAATTTTTTTGAATATTCTGATGAGGCATGGTGAAAAAAATTGAGGTGGTATCAAAGCTAATACAGTAGGCCTCAGATTGTGACAGAAATCGATGAGAAATTTCGTCATCATGTCTGATTTTTTGGACATTCTTTGGGATCATCAAAATTTCGAGCCCTGCTGAAAAAGTGCCGGATTTTTGCGTATTTTAATTTTGCTTGCTAAAAATTTAGGCAGAGCTTGAAGAATACCATCATAGGGTTTCCAGTAAAATCAAAAATTTTAAAAAAATCCGTCACCATGACCGATTTTTTGGAGGATTTTCAAAACACCCGATTTTCTGTGACTTTTTTGTAAAATACATTGTTACAGTAATCCGCAATGGTAAAATTAGAAAAATCCGTATTGTGTGTGAAAGCCGATCTCATAATCTTCCATTTACAAAGGAAAATTTCCCAAGACTCCGTCATTATGACGCATTTTCCTGCATTTTCCTCCGAGTCATCCACTAGTTCGGCGGCGCTTGAAATCTGCGATGCCCTTGGGGCAGAACTGTCAAATCATGCTAATTAAACCGCCCGACCGACCTCAAACGGGCGAGACACGAAGTCCGTTTGATGTTCGCAGCGCGCATTTCCCTTCGCCTTCGAGTTCAAGGGTTCACCATAACGCGCCTTGAGATGCGTAAAATTTACGGGCGTTTTCCGGTCGAAAAAACATTTCTTTCACCTCACTCGGATTTATAGTATCCATAAAAGAGTCTTTGGTCTTGATATTTTGGGCAATATCCTCACTAAACATCCCATTTTTCGGTTTGAAATAGCCTTCTTCAAGTTTCGAAGGATATTTTTAATCTTTCTATAACTACTGTCCCATTTTTAACCACCATTTTCCCGTCGTATCTCAATTATGCCCCTTCTCTTTATCTTTTCTCTAACCGTCTCTCGACTTTGCGTGCTCTCTGATTTTCTCTGGCTAATATCTTGTTGAAACTCTTCTCGGATGCCCTCTCCAAAAATAACGATCTCTCATTTTTTCTCTATCCACTACTTCTTTTGGAAAAAATTGTCGGACCGCTCTCTCCGAAGCACACGCTCTCTCTTTTCTCTCTCCGAAATCCCTTTTGGTCAATTCTCTCGCCGCTCTCTCACTTCTCGCGCTCCCTCTTTTCCTCTGACGTTTCTCTCTCAAATCTTTTCTCTCACGCCCTCCTCATTTTTTCCACTCTCTCTTCATTTTCGCCGTTCTCCTCATTCTGCCTGCTATTTCTCGGTTCTCTGGCCAATTTAGCGCTCTCTCGCGCTCTCCACGCGTCGCCCGCTCTCTGGCTGGCCCAGAAAGCGGGGCGTGATGGTTGGAACCGAGGCAGCTGGATATTGTGCATCTGCCCGCAACGAAAGCTCCCGATTCCAGCCGCTTTCCGCCGCCCTCCCAAGGGCGCACCTCGCCCACTCTTTGGACCCTCCGCGGAACGCCAACTCTCTCCATGGCCGTCGCGCCGCTCTCTCCGACTGACGTGTAGTCGGGGCGCAGGATGTGTGCACTCTTCGTGTATTGTTTTTCAAGTCTTTTTCTGCTCCCACCCACCGACAAAAAATTCTCCACACTTTTCGCACAAAAATCCACCCCAAAGCCTCGATGGAATGGAAATTCCCCGCGATTTTGGACTTGGCGACAAGATAGAGGCTTAAGGATTTCATTCAGCCACATTTTACATTATGGGGTTACTGTATTTTTTCGTTTTGGCCTAATTTCTTCGAGACTCTCGAAATTTTTATTTTCTTCCCTATTTTTCGCGTTTTTCGTGATTTTTCCGACAAAAAATCGGTTCAAATTTTATCTCACAATATTCCTTATACAATAAGCTTCAATTTGATTACAAATTTACCCCATGTATTATTGCAATTTTCGGAGATACGGCGAGTTTTCGAACATGGCCTCCGGATTTCGATCAACATTTGATTCTTCGCCCTTTTCCCCCAAAACACCTTAATGTTTACCGGAGATTATTCTTTTTTATCGCCTCGCGGATCGCGGGCTTTCATTTCCCGCCCAGTTTATGGCTGTGGGTATTGTAAAATCCACCCAAAAATCCATTCCCTTTTGACCTAAAATCGTTTTTTCGCGGTGTTTTCGGGAGAGCGGCGAAAAAGACGAAAGGAACAAAGTTTTTAGGTCGGAAATGGACGCTTCGAGAACATCCGCCTACTGTAGTTGTAGTTCTTATCCTATTTTACATTTTTTTGAAAATTTTTTTTTGAAAAAAAAAATTTTTGAAATAAAAAAAATTTGAAATTTTTGATTTCGCGTGAAAAAAATTTGCTCAGAAATAAAAAAGAAAACTTTCAGTTGTTGACGTTGTTGATTGTTGATTGTGTAGAGAAGTTGTAAACCAAAAAACCACCCGTTTTCCAAAAAAAAAAGAAATCATGGAACCCACACCGATGCTATGGAACTTTGGTAAGGGTTTTCGCAGTCATTATATTTTTTTATGAATTAAAAAAATATCACGTATTTTACAGATTTTACTTTCGATTTATTTTCAAAAATTTTTGGAAAGTTTTTTCGAAAAAAAAAATAAAATTTTTTCGTATAAAATGTCACTGTTTGACAAGACTTTCAAATATAATTTTTGTTTCTTGGGCGTATTTTACAATATTTATGGCAAATCCTTGTTTTTACGACACTTTTTTTAACAGTTTTGCGAAGCTCTCCTTTGGAAAATTTTTTGCGTATAACTTGTCACCTTCAAGAGATTTCTGAAAAACTAAAGAAGTATAGGCAGACTGTCCTTCTCCATTATCATATTCTAGTAGAACTTTGAAATAATATTGTCACTATGACATATTTTTTGGAGTTTCTTTACAAGCTCCTTTTTTAAAAGGAAATTTTAGTTTTTTGCGTATAAAATGTCACCTTTTTGGTATTTTGCAGTGATTTTTTTCCTGTAGGAAGACTGTTATTCCTGTTGTCAGACGGTAGTATAATTTTATAATTTTATTGTCAGCATGACATATTTTTTGGGCATTTTTTGAAGAGAGGTGTTTTGAAGCAAATTTTTATTTTTTTGCGTATAAAATGTCGCTCAATCAAGATTTTCAAATTGTTGTGATTAAGATGACGAGAAAATGCCGCATTCGTCATAATTATGTCATTACGACATTTTTTCGCATTAAAAATTTTCGAAAATCGAGTCATTTTCCGAAATCCCATCAGATCCGCTAAAGCCGTCTAATTATTTCGCCCAAAACTCGCGATTTAATTGGTTGCACTTTTACGAACCCCCTCTCTTCTTTGACGTTTCGAACAGTGTTATCAGCGGGCGGATATTCCAGTTCCATGCGATCGAAAGCGAGCCTTTCGTTTTCTTTCGCCCCTCTCCTCGGGGCGCACGCTCTGTTCGCGGCGGACCACCAACGTCGAAAATGCAAAGAGGGTGTTGTTAAGTCGAGAGTTTTGACAATCACTCGGATGTTTCCGGGAAGAGACAACAAAAATACACCCCAATATTATCCATGGGGTTTGGGGATGCGAAAATTGGCGAAAGTCTTGGAAAAATGAGGAAAATCATTAAAAAATCATTAATTAAGATATGAAAAATGTTGTGAAATTAAACTACAGTAAATTTTACACTATCTAAAAATCAAATTTTTTTGTGTTTTTAACATTTTCTTACTGTAATCTGCAAAAAAAAATTTATCAAATTTTTTGATTTTTTTTGCAAAATTATGTAATTTTTCACTATGATGGCGGCGTATTTTAGGCCTATTTTTCATCATAAACCCATTTAAATTCTTTTGTACCCCTTAATACTACTGTAACATAAAAAAAAATTTTCAAATTTTTTCAAAATTTTCTCCAAAAAATCATGTTTCATCCCAGCATGAACTCCACAATGTGTCCTCATCAAATTTAGGGCATGCATAATGTCTAGCCACCCTTATTTTTGTCCGACAAGTACATTCTTCGCCCTAATCCAAAGGCTAGACGGTTATTTTCCGCAAAAGAATTTTTATTTTTGGCCTAAAGTCCCACCGTATCCGAACTTTTTTTCGCACAGATCTTCGTCTCGTCAAAAGTTTCTTTTCCCCGGCCGAAATTCGTCGCACAGAAAAAAAATTTTTCGTTCGACGTCAAAACTTGGGAATATTTGTCCTTTGTTGACAAAACGAACAGAGAAAGAGAAAATTTCTGAAATCCGAGAGTGGCCTGGAGACATGAAAAGTCTATGAGGCCTATGTTTCATGGATTATAATGGATGTGAAACTGATTTTTTGAAGGAATTTTGAAGAGAGATCAACGTAGAGGGTCATGGACAATATAATCGAAATTTCTGATGTTTTGACATAAATTGATTATGATTTTCAGTCTTAGGAGGCACCAAATTTCCTGATTGTTCATACGAAAATCATTTTTATAAAAAAATCCGTCATTATGACCGATTTTTCGGGGAAAGTTTGATGTCATCTATTTTGAGGGTCATGGATGATATTTTTGATATTTAAGGTTAAAAATGGCCATGTATCTAACGGATTTTGTCTGTTTCTAACACCCAATGTCATAGTTGAAAATTAGACACATAACTTTTTGCAAACCTTTGTCATCATGACCGATTTTTTGGACAAATTCCGCCAGCCTCCACATCTAAAGGTCATGTGCAAGATCATGCTATTTTTAACGCAAATCCGAGCCGACATGCTATTTAGGACTTATTCGAAGGACATTTTTTTGTTGTCTCGTTGCTATTTTTACACAATTGGTCCAAACAAATGTCTAGAATTCTTTTTCCTTAGGCCATAAACAAAAACATTTGGCTTCGTTTGAACAGCCGCATAAGGGCCGGCCTGGTAAACAAGCTGTCATGAACAGAGCATGGATTTGATTGAAGAGTGGGCTAGTTGTACGATAGGTTAAAAATTGAACTGAACATTTTATACGATGAAATGTGTTTCGAGGTTGGACAGGTTTTTTGCGTATAAAATGTCGCCGCTTGAGCGTTTTTTTGGTAAAATGCGATCTGCCTTGATTCCCTTTGGTCGATAAAAACATAAATTAAAAAAAAACAACTTCGGGTGGCATCTTATACGATGAACTCTTTCCGACACGTTTTTTCGTATAACTTGTGGTCCATACGCCATTTTTTTGTAAAATACGCTTAATCAAGAAATGATAATAATATAGACAATATAATAACCAAGAAACGTGCAAAAAGCTTCTGGCGACATTTTATACGATCAAAACTTCCAAACACATTCAATCGTATAAAACGTCCAAAAAACCTTTTGAATCGATTTTTAAAAGTACAAAGGGGTAATTGCCCTCACAAAGACCAGAGACTGTCCCTGTCATCGGCCTCCCGGTCCGACCAAAAGCCATTTTTTGCGCAGCCGTTTTTTGTGAAAAATAAAAAATCGCTCTGGACTTTTGGTCTTTGCGAAATTTGCGGCCGTAAAATGTTGGGAACATTTCTGATTGCTAAAACATTCTTAACGATGAGAAATCGGAAATCCATTCCCTTCGGAGATTTAAAATATTGGACTTGCAGCCGATCGAAAAGATTGATAAATTAGTGCATTAAACAAGTCAATTATAGTCAAAGCTATAATAGAGGATGTTGCAGGATACTTAGGAAAGATTCTGAAGGCATTTTGAATTTACGGATTACGGTAATTTTTCGAGATACCGCCGATTTTACAAAATTAGCCAAGATTTTTGAGATGGCCGGAAAAAAGTCGGGATTACTGTAATTTTTGCTATTATATACCATAAAATCAACTCATGAGATAATAGCACAGACCTTACAAAAGGCCTAAAGTAATAATTTGATCCATGGGTTACTGTAATTTTTGAGTTTTGGATCGTTTTCTAAAAGAAAGTCCAAGTTTTGAGGGTGACTCAAAAAAGCGTGGGATTACTGTAATTTTTTTCAATTTTAAAAACAAGAAATGTCATTCTACGTCACCACTAACTCTTTGTGTTCACTGCAAGTACAAGAACACCAATGTTCAGCCTCACAATAATCGTATTTTTGTCGAATTTCCTCATAACCCGAGAAAAGCGAGAGTTTCCAAAGGATTAGCGAGAAACATCCAAAACGTACAGAAACTGAAACATCAAAAAGTCTTGCAATATCCTACACTATGCACTATAACTTTTAACAACAAAACCTGCAATAATTTTGAAGTGTAATGTGCGTAATTTTTCAGAAGAATTAGGCGAATCGGACTCGCTGGGGACGAGTGCCGCAGGCTCCAAACAGGATCCCATCTCATCGCTTCTAGCCAATATTGCCAGGGACCAGGCTGGTAGGTGGTTTGGGTGTTAACGTCACTGTTTTTTCACTTTAGTCCGTCATTATGACATGTTTTTTGGAATTGTTGGAAATATAGGGGCTTTTTGGGTTTTGAGATTTTTAAGGATTTTTCCGATAAAAAATCGGGAAAATTCTCTTTGTATAGGCTTCAGAGATTCATATTTTACGCATATTACAAAAAATTTGAGAAAAAATCCGTCATCATGACGGATTTTTTGGACGTTTTTTAAGGGGGTCTCAAGAAATTAAACTTTTTAAAATTCGTTGAAAAACTCGCTGAGGATTGTGAGTTACATCTTTTTCAAGCAAATGACAGAGAAGTATATTCCGTATTTTACCAATAGATATCAAGAAATCTAAAAATTTCTTGGATTTTCAACGATTTTTCGGCCTTTTCCCCCACACCATCACCCTGGCCTTTGGCCTCTCCTTTCGGACCTGAGCAATGTCACAACTCGGGCCCTTGTGACGACTCCTTTCCCAACGAACAAAAGGGCATCGCCTGGTGCCCTAAAAAGTGGAGAGCGGTCCCGAGTTTCGGCCGCTTTTCCGGGAGACCCGCTTTTTATGCGAGTGATCGGGCGAAAGTTCGGCGTTTTTTCCGGCGCTCTGCGGTCCTTCATCAGCCCCCAATTTATCGACGGTTTCCTTGGAGGCCGAGGGCCGCGGAAGGGCGGGCTATTTTTGGCGGTAGGAAATGGGCCGTGATTGGGACGAAAAGGAGGAAAAAGGAGGAAAAATTGGGCAAAGGATACTGTATTTTTCGTCGGGAAGCCGAAAATTTTTCACAAAATACTTAAAAATCTCTAAAATTAAAATTCCCACCTCAAAACCCCCTGTACCTCAATGGCGCAGTGGAGTTGAAGAAAAATTTTCACTCAAAATGTCGCAAGTTCGAGTCCCGGTGGAGCAAGTCCAAAAGATCAATGAATACATCGACACAAAGTCCGATTTTCATTTTTATAAGTACCCGGGGGCTTTGTGGACTTAGTGGAAGCGCAAATAAACAGGAAACTTGACCTTTGCCCGGAGGTTTTTTATCTCGTTTTTGTGCAAAGAGTGGGAATTTCAATGTGTTTTGGGGAGAGCAAAGATTAATCAGGTCATAAATTGTATTCGAAAATAATTTTGAAGCGCTTTCGGATGATAAATTGTCTGGTTTTTTCATTCAAAGGCTAAAATAAGGTCGAAAAATTGATTCTTTCTCTCTTAACCGCCTTGAAATGCCTTCAAGTCTCTAATTCAACGCCATTTCAGGTATGTTGAGCTCTGCCGCTGGCGGTCGTGCTCTTCAGGGAATGGGCCTCGCCCCCACCCCACCCCTTGGCATGGGCGGCGACGATCCCACGGACGCCTTCCTCAGTCTGAGCGCGCCGACCGCGCCCGTCCTGCCGAACGCCAGCCGCCTGAGCACCTGGGCCCCGCTGGAACAGCAGCCCGCGCAAGCGCACAGCCTCCAGCACAGCCTGCTGAACTCGTTGTACCATCCCGGACTGGGTAGGTGGATTTGCGATTTTTGAGATTCTTTGAAGTTTAGGTGAAAAGTGCATACTGTCGATGGGTAGTAGAAAGCAATGGCTGTCGAAAAATGCGAAAAGAAGTTTTGAGTCACTTCTATATTAATCATGGCCACCAATTTATTTTTGTCCCTATTTTGAGCAAAAAATCTCGAAATTTAGCCAAAACTTCGCTTTTTCAATATTGCTAGTAAACAATTTGACTACAAGAAGCAAGACCATGACAATTACTATATATCCACTCCAAAAAATCATCAAAATCCCATCATTTTGACACATTTTCTGGACATTTTCCGAAGCCCGCCTCAATTTCTAATCATTTTGTAAATTATGCAAATTTACCGAAATACTCAAATTAAAAAATCTTAATTTTACCACGTACACCTTCCTCACTATCTACTCATTACTTTAGGCACAACATCGGACGTGTTCCACCTGGTGAAATGCCCGATTTGCCGCGAACATTTCCGCGACCCCCGCGTGCTCGCCTGCTTTCACTCCTTCTGCAAGGAATGCCTGGAACACCGTGAGCACCCGAATGATCGCGTGATCATGTGTCCACAGTGTCATCAGGAGACGCAGTTGTCTCCCAACCTCGGGATTGATGGGCTGTTGAGCGACTATGGGCTTCAGAACGCCGTGAATCAGAGCATCATGGAGGCGGAGGGCAAGGCGCCGGGCCGTGCCGGCTCGTTGAGCTCGTCGCCGGGAAGCGACAGCGATGAATTGGTAAGAATATTACTCTATTTTTATGGCAAAATATAGTTTTAGGGGGGAATTTCTATTAGGTGACATTTTATACGATGAAACATGTACGGACATGTTTCATCGTATAACTTGTCTGGAAAGCGTGATTTTTCAAAAATTTCTGCTGAAAGATGATATATGGCAGAAAAGATCATGCTAAACATTTTTTTGTTAAAAATTTGTTTGGTTTTTGATTTTTGGCACTTTAAAATTTTGAATATTTCGTCGTATAACTTATCGCCCGCGATTTTTTTTAATCCGCGAGAATCTAAATGCTCCGTATTTTACAAAACCTTCTATTTTTTGTAAATCTATCGCTAGTTGAGCGCAAAACGATCAAAAACACGTTTCATCGTATAAAATGTCGCTTGACCACAATTTATCAAAACTTTCGTTACAGCCCGGCTCCAACTTGCACGTGTGTACCGGCTGCAAGAGCGGCGACTTCGCGAAGGCCTTCTGCGGCGACTGCCGGCGCTTCCTGTGCCAGAACTGCACCCAGGCCCACACCACGATGCACTGCTTCGACGGGCACCACGTGGAGATCTTGAAGGTGGGCGCGCGCAGCACCCAATGCAACTGTCTGGAGCATCGGCAGCAGCCGTTGCAGTACTTTTGCATCACCTGCAACTTCGCCATCTGCCACGAGTGCACCATGAAGGAGCATCAGAACCACACGGTGGAGAAGATTGACGACGTCGCCGAGGACCAAATGCAACGCATGGAGGACCTGATCGCCGAGGCCACGAAGAAGCAGGCCAATCTGCATGATGTTTTCCGGCTGATCGACAGCTATCAGACCAAGTTGACCAACTCCTTCCAGCAGGCCCAGAACAACATTGACGAGTTCGCGAACAGCCTGATTCTCGCCGTTCAGGAGGCGCGCAAAGTCCTCTACAAGGACTTGGAGACGACGTTCGCCTTCCGCCAACTGCAAATCACCGTCATCGACAAGGACGTGCAGAAGATGACGAAACGGATGTCGCAGACCATCGAGTTCACGCAACGCCTTCTGAAGTACTGCAGCCCCACGGAGGTGATGGTGTTCAAGCCGCTGGTGGACCAGCGGCTGCAGAACTTCCTCAACTTCAACATCAACACCCAGCTCTCGCCCAACAATGAGATTGAGCCGCTGCAGGTGAACTCGCAGCAAGCCCGACAGGTGGGTCATGGTGAATATAAAAAATCGCGGTTTTTTCGGATTTTCTGCATCTGATATGTCGGATATCAAATCTACAGTAAATATAGAGCTTTTGTTTTCTACTATTTTCATTTTGAAAAATAAAATGAAAACGAAAAGTCGAGATTTTCCAAAAAAAAAGTTCTTTAGTCTTCTGCTTGCTTCGAAATTCAAAAAATCCCGTTTTCAGATGATCTACAACTGCCTGATGAACTCGCGTCCCGAATCCTGGCTTCCCAGCCATTCCATGCCTCCAGCAACTCAACGTCCACCCAGCGATCAGCTCCGCTCCTCGCCCAATGGCAACGATTCCGCGTTGGGGTCGAGCTGCAACAACCTCGGCTTCGGCGTGGGCTCCAACTCCTCGTCCAGCTCGAGTAGCAACAACAACCGTCCCCTTACCTCCAGCCCTCTGTCGGCATTGCAGCAGACCAACTTTAGTGCGCCGCAAACGTTTGGCGGCGCGTCAGCGCCAGCGCAATCATTTATTAGCGCACTGGAGGGGAACAACGCGATGAGTTTGTTCAACAACTACGAGAAATGGAGCAGTGGGCTCGAACTGACCGCTGTGGCCAGTGCGTTGGAGTTGGGGAATGGCTCAGCGCCCGCTGCGACCGGTGTGGCTGACTTGGAGGACAAGGTGACGGCCCTGTCCATCTACCCGCCGCGCAGTCAGATCAAGCGCCAGAAAATGACCTATCACTGCAAGTTTGGCGAGTTTGGCGTCATGGAGGGCCAATTCACCGAGCCGTCTGGTGTCGCGGTCTCCGCTCAGAACGACATCATCGTCGCCGACACCAACAACCATCGGATTCAGGTGTTCAACAAGGAGGGCCACTTCAAGTTCCAGTTCGGCGAGTGCGGCAAACGCGACGGCCAGCTGCTCTATCCGAATAGAGTGTCGGTGAACCGACAGACTGGCGATTTCATCGTCACCGAACGCAGTCCCACCCATCAGATCCAGGTCTACAATCAGTACGGGCATTTCTTGCGCAAGTTCGGCGCCAATATCCTCCAACACCCGCGAGGAGTGTGCGTCGACCATCAGGGACGAATTATTGTGGTCGAGTGCAAGGTAGGGATAAATTGACTAAAATTTAATACCTATTTATCACAAAAAAAGTCCAAAAATTTTACAAAAAATCCAAAAATTTTGAAATTTCGCAGATAATCAACAACAAAAACATGATTTCTGATGTCTAAAATAAGTTTTTTTATAAGCGACTCTTGCTTTTATAATACTTTTTAGCATTAAAAAATATCAGTTTTGGCATTTTCTCGCAGGTGGACTCGAACCTGCGACCTTTCGATTTCCAGCCCACCTCACTACCCACTTGACCAAAATGTCACAGGCTCTAAAATAGGCCAAAATTTTAAAAAATTAAAAATTTACCGAAAATCCAGTAAAATACGACAAGAAAGAATTTTTAAAATATGAATTAAGATACATATGTGTCGCTAAAATACGATTTTTTTGCAGGTCATGCGCGTCCTGATCTTCGACATGCACGGCAACATCCTGCACAAATTCAGCTGTTCCCGCTACCTCGAGTTCCCGAACGGCGTGTGCGCCAACGACAAGAACGAGATCTTCATCAGCGACAACCGCGCCCACTGCATCAAGGTCTTCAACTATGAAGGCCAGTACCTGCGCCAGATCGGCGGCGAGGGCGTCACAAACTACCCGATCGGCGTCGGAATCAACGCGTTCGGCGAGGTCGTCGTGGCCGACAACCACAACAACTTCAATCTGACCATCTTCAATCAGGTATGAGAGGTTTTTTTGCGATTTTTTTGGGGTTTTTTTGAGGAAATTGGGAAAAATACGAAAGAAATATGAAAAATCTCAAAATTTAAGGTCAAATTGAGGTTGAATTAGAAAAATTTAGGTAAAATAAGGTTCCTCAAAAAATTTTTTGTTATTGTAGCAACGATAAAATTCAAAATTCCTATGAAAATAATCAAAAATTTTGAAAAAACGCCAGATTTTTTCAAAATTTCGCTGATTTTTCAAATTTTTCGCGGTTTTTCATCAAAAAAATCAAATTTTCTACCGGATTTTTTGCGTTGAATTTAAAGACATAGCTAGAATAAATGTTGTTTCCCAATAAAAATTCCAAATTACTAAGAAACAGAGCTCAAAAAATCGAAATTTTGCAAAAAAACCGAAAATTTCCAAGGTTTTTCGCAATTTTTCGCGGAAAAAATCAATTTTTAGGCCAAAATTTTTGCTGAATTTGCTAATACAGATAAAATAAATACAGGGTGTACCAAAAAAATGGAAACTTGTTTTTATAGCTATATTTTTTCGGAGAATCAAAATTCAGCAAAAGTAACGGTCATGATTGGTAACATAGAGCATTGTTTATAACATGTTCAACCTGTTTCACAGTGGCTGCCTTTGGTGGCGATATAGAGCTCCAAACGTGACGTAAAATTTTGGGGTCCGGGCCGCAGCTTTTTAAGGGGGAAATCGGTCCCGTTCTTGGCGCATCATTTACTTTGCGACTCCAAACTTTTGTGGAGCATAGTACAGGTGCTGGCCTTCTATTTAAAAAAATATATAGTCCATTGGATTCAGACCTGACGAGCAGGCGGCCATTTCGCAGACGGGATAAAATCGGGAAAATCGGTCCCATTTCGGGTCCTGAGTTGATTTTGCCTTGTGAGCCGGCGCTGAGTCCTGTTGAAACGCTAAGTTTGCATTGCCAAGGTTCTTCTGAGCTCACGGAAGCACGCCAAAATAGAAATTAACGCGGCGCTTGTATTTTGCCCCATTGATTCACGAAAAACATGGAATTCTTGCCGCTGGCACAAATTCCGCCCTAAGCAATGACGGCCCGGATTTTGGCGGTATTCGACGATGCCCAACAGGCTAGGAGCCTCATTGAAGCAGATTCTATCGTTCTGGTGGTTGTGGATCCGCTAAATATTGAACCGCGAACTGAATGCGCTCACGTCTCGGAGCTGCGGCCCGCCCCTTTGACTTTCCGACATTTTTGCGCCGTACGCACTTCCTCTCGGCTTTAAAGATCTGAATTTTTTAGAGCTTGTATGACATGAGGTTGAGCTCGTCTTTGGCTATTCGGCCGACCGATCGGTCGCTGATGTCAGTCTCAAGGGCAAGTTATTCTTGAAAATCGCCGATTTTGCTGTTGAGGATCTCCCGGTTGAAAGAAGCGCTGGCGGTGCGTTTTTCTTTAACTTCCTGGGCGCTTACTATCCGTACCAAGCTCCTTGCGCCGCGTGATTACTTTCGACACAACGTTCTTTCTATACCGAGCAAATTAACTGTTCGAACAGCTCCAAAAACAAGTCCAAAATCAAGGTCCCTTCGTTTGAAGTCCAAAAAAACAGGTCGATTAATCGATATGGGCGTAAAAATCAAAACACCATGACAGAAAAACACAGAGAATTTTGTGGTAATAAACCTCTTTGGCTACACCTAACCATTTTTGCGTCAGGACCCATGAAAAAAAGTTTCCATTTTTTTGGTACACCCTGTATTCCGCTATAAAACGGAACAATTTTAAAGTGCATTTCCATAACAATTTTATTAGAAATTTTCGAAAAATCCCATATTTTTGATGATTTTTCGCCATTTTTCCAAATTTTTGCCATTTTTCGTCAAAAAAATCAATTTTCAGTCCAAAATTTTCGCTGGATTTGATAATACAGATAAAATAAATATTCTGCTATAAAACGGAACAATTTTAAAGTTCATTTTTATTACAATTTTACTAGAAATTTTCAAAAAATCCTAAATTTTCCTCAATTTTTCGCCATTTTTCCAAATTTTTCGCAATTTTTCGTCGAAATAATCAATTTTCAATACAAAATTTTTGCTGAATTTGCTAATACAGATAAAATATAGACTCTGCTATAAAATGGAAGCCTTTTTAAGTACATTTTTATTACAATTTCAATAGAAATTTTCGAAAAATCCCAAATTTTCCTCAATTTTTCGCCATTTTTCCAAATTTTCGACTTTTCTCCCCAACTAACCGCCAAATTGCAGAATGGCGAGCTCCTGAACGCCATGGAGAGCAAGGTGAAGCACGCGCAGTGCTTCGACGTGGCGCTGCTGGAGGACGGGTCGGTGGTTTTGGCGTCCAAAGACTACCGCCTCTACCTCTACCGCTACCAGTCCAACGCGATCTGAGCGCGCGTTTCGTTAAGCAGTTTTTTGTTACATTATTGTTTTTTTTAATAATCTCACTGTTCACCGCTGGTTTTTTCGTCTTCGAAAATCGACTCACAAACCTCAAGAAGCCCCGTCTTTTGCGCCCAACTTTTGCATGTGATCGAAACTTTATTCTTTTCTCTCTTTTTTGCTTGGAAAACAAACTGAATAGTCAACTGTATGTAGCTCAGTATTTTCTGCAGTCTATTTTGTAACGTCTTCTATTGGAATTTTCAAAATTTTCGAATTTTTCTCTGCCCCTCTCTTGCAAACGCACTATCTCTCTTGAACGAAAGGATCCCGGTCATTTTTTTGTTGTTTCCCCCAAATTCGGTGCGGATTTCTCGTTCAAATCTTTCGTATTCGGTAGTCGGAGTCGTATTTTAGGGCCTACATTGGATTTTTCGTCAGAAATCATCGATTTTTTGACTGAAAACTTGAGAATTCTCGAGAAAACCAAAGAAAATTGAGGTTTTCCCCCAAAATCTTCGATTTAAGCCCAAATTCCCTCTGGCTATCATTCGAATTGATAAGTCAGAGGGTTATTTTAGAGCCTGCTTTGGATTTTCGCTAAGAAATCACCGATTTTTCGCTCGAAAAATCGAGAATTCTCGAGAAAACACAAGGAAAATTGAGGTTTTCCCCAAAAACCTCGATTTAAGCTCAAATTCCCTCTGGCTATGATTGGAGTTCATATGTCAGAGGCGTATTTTAGCGCTTGCTTTGGATTTTTCTTCAAAAATCACTGATTTTTCGCTCGAAAAACTGAGAATTCTCGAGAAACCCCAATTTTTCCATCAAAATTTCAAAAAATCCCAATTTAAGCCCCAAATGCCCTGCGGCGAACCGAAAAAACTTTCTTCAAATAGTGTCTAGCGCCTCTACATTTAATCTAGCTATTGTTTTCGTGGTGTTTTTGTTGTTTGTGGTCGTGTTTGTCTCATTTAACAAGCTACGTTCGGAAAATCTTTACAATTTCAGCTCCTCCCACTCAACCCACTGGATTACAGTCTGCTCCACATAGAAATCATCCGATTTACTGTGGGAACTGTAATTTTCAGCGGGTTGCGTCATAGTCTACCCCCGATTTAGAGTCTTTTAATTTATTTTGTCACCGAAAATTGGTTAAAAATCACCCATGTTTTTTTGGATGTGGACCATCCCCTTCAATTTTTTCGTTGTATGAGCTTGTAGTCCGAGGTTTCTTCTTCTTGTCCCCCTCTAACTTATACTAAATCTACTAAAACTTCCCCTTTTTTTAACTTTTTTTTTACTAACTGCTGGTCAGTCGATTTCTCATCGTTTTACAGCCCAAATGGCGGGAAGATATCGAGGCAAACTGTAGATATACGGTCCTCGGAGTGTTTCGCAGCCGCCGGCAATGCGCTACGATGAAAGTCTTTGACAAAAGATTGAATAATAGTAATAACTGTAATCCAACTTTCCCACCTCTAGTCCGCTTAATTTATCGCTATTTTTTGTTACAATCCCAGGGTATTTTTGTGGTATATTACATATAGATGTGATCAGCAAGAAGTCAGCTAAATTTTGAGTACTAAATCTTGAGATATCATATTCGATATCACATCAAAAAAATTGATTTTCCGCTGACCTCCCAAAATTTGATGTCTAGTGCAATATAACTCAAAATACCGGGGAAACGAAGGGTATGACTATGTAGATTTTACTTTTTAACATCCGAAATTTACTGAGTGAGCTGTGTACAAAAGATTTTTTGAGTTCCACCGGCTTGTTATTTTGTATTTGTTGGTTTTCGCTTTGAGTGTTTCTTCGAAGAGTACAAAACGGGAAAATGGGTCGAAAATGGGTTGATAATGCGAGATGTCAGGGGATTTTGGAACTAGTAACTGTAGTACTCCCCTTACTCAAACTTTCTGCTATCTGAAATTTTAGGATTACTGTATTTTTCAGCGTGAAAATTCAGTTTTTTCGAAAAAAATCCGATTTTTTCGGTTTTTTGAGAATTTTTGGAAATTGCATGAAATTACAGTAATCCCTGAGATACAGATTGGTCTAGAATTAACGAGAAAGGTGCTGGCTATGATAAAACTTCCAAGTCCATCGAGATTTCCGTCATTTTCGATGTGAAATTAGGCAAAACATTCGGGAATCCAAGAATTTTTCGCACGAATTTCCGCGATTGGGCAAACATTTGTTGTTATGTAGAAGTCGAAAATAGGAGTAGGCGTAGGACTGTGCCCAATCCAAATTCACTCCATTTTTTTCCAAAACTTTGATTTTTTATTCGAAAAATTCGAAAAAATTTTCGTTTTTGAAAAAAATTTGGCCGCGAAAAATGTGTACATAAATGTAAATACGTGTAAAAACCGTGATGAGGAGTTGTAGAATCGGAAACTCAAAACAGGGCTTTATAAAAAAAAACTTTTTTTTTTTGATTACGGTAGGATTACGGTAATTTTTTAAAACGGCTTTAAGTAACCTTTTAACATCTTGTTAATTGTTGTAAATTCGCTAGATTTAGGTTGGTTACAGTACAAAATTCGCAAAAATTTTGTTACAGTAACCCGCTTTTTGTTACCCAAACCTCTCTGATTGCCTTTAACAATGTTCGGTCCTTGTTAAAATCCCAGTTAATCGAGTTTTTTTACCATCTTTTTTGTTGATACTGTAAAAGTCTTTCAAAATTTTCTTGTTAAGTTTCAAAATTTTTGCAGTTCAAGCCAAAGTTTTTTGTCCTATTTTTTCAAAAAAATTGGGTCCAAAAAAATTTGCATATGCAAATTTTCACGGCCTAATTTTTCTTGTTCTTTTGTGTTTTGAGTTTCTGTACAGTCCACTTCTCGTCTAGTTTACATTGTATTACATTTTACATCTCTTCCCGAGTTATGCAAATTTTGCAAAATTATGCAAATTTCGCAAAAAATGTACAGAAATCTTGTCTTCCCGTGGCCTAGAGCTCTCTGAAGCTGTCTGTAAACACAAAATCATTTTGTTTTACGCAACTTTTTGAGGGCAAATCGGCCCGGGAAGGTGTTCTCCTCTGCCCTCTCCACAATCCCCATTATCTCTCGTTTCACTGCTATTTTCCCACGATTTATCTCTTCCATTTCTCGACACTTTTAATCAAGACTTTACACTTTTTCGAGTAATCGCGTTTTCTTGTTCGTTGTGGTTGTTATATTGTTATTTTTTACAATTTATTGTAATAGTTTTTGAGGTCCGGCGAGTTCGGCGAATTTCGCTAATTTACCCTGAATTTTGGTCGGAGTTGAAAATGAATTTGGATGGTGGAGATAGTAGACACCCTGGAAATTTGATTTTTTACACCCTGGGTTACTGTAACATTCAGTATCCTTGCGAATTTCCAAGGGGAAAAAAGACCAAACTTTTTGGTCATCATGGATAATATAATTCAATTTTCACCAAAAATACAGTCGTATTTTAGGAGAAAATTGAACGTATATTACACCACAAGTCCTACTCTACAAATCCAGACGATTTTCATCGCATCAGGATTACTGTAACATGACGAATTCGTCGATTTCGCCCGGCCCCTTTAAGATCGCTAGAACTGATTTAAAAACTTGTCTTTGTTGTATCAATCAAGTTGTTACTGTCCACATTTTCCACTCTTTACGATAAACGACATCTTGACTCTCTGTGGTCTTACCGTATTCCCCAATCTTCGGCGTTTTCGATTTCGAAAATCGCCAAAAATGGGGATATTAGCTAATGATTGTAAATACGATTGTTACTACCTTGTCTTGCATGACGTTCCGCTGCAGCACGGACTGTCGGATTGTAAATACGATTATGTTCGCAGCACGCTTGATTGTTTTTATTGTTACTTCGTTCAAACGACAATTTTCTTATTGTAAAATTGATGTGAAAAAATAAAAAATTGTACATACAACTTCGGATGATTGATTGATAATAGTGAAAATCGAATAAAACGAGAGTCAAAGAGCTTATAAATCCAAGTCAATTCAAATTTGGGAAAAATAAAACAAATTTTTGGTCCTGCAACGAAAACCGTGCAGCCTTTGGCATTCTGCAACAAGCCTTCGGAGGGCTAAAAATGACGTAAAGATTATTTCTAGAGGCTCTTGTAGAGTAAATCGCAACTAATTTTGGCGGTTTAGCCAACGACTTTATACATTTTTTGATCATCTCACTTCAATGCCATGGGTAATATAAATTGAAAGTTTTTTTTGGAATTCAATCAGGTCCACCAACACCATTTTAAATTTTGGGAATTCTCAGATCCCAAAATACAAAATAGTGCTAGTTTCAACAAATCCTCGCATCATTAGATCAATTCTTCTTTAGATGGGATGGATAACATAGCTTTGGTCAAGTTTTCTTTTTTTTTCAAATTATTGGTTTCAACTCTCTCTATACTGCTTCTTAAGCAGTATCTCAACATAATAAGACATTTCCCCTCATAATTTTCGCTACTTTTATGCCATTATCGCCCTTTTTACGTTTTCCTCCCTAATAAAGGGACAAAAAACGTTAAATCTTATGAATTTACCCAAAATGCCCCCAAAAGGCCTACCAATTCCAAATATTAATAAAAATAAACATTTCCAATATACCTTAGGCATTGCAAACACCCCAATAACCATTAAAACGTCCACTTTTTAGCGTTTTATTTCAGAAACAATCAAAAAATCAAGATTTACAACTTTGTTAACAATTACAATAGGTGGTGATTAATCCATTGAAAGTGTTTTTTCGATCCGAAAGAATTTTTTACTTCTCTTTGATTACAATTTACTGTAATTCCGAGAATTGAAAGAAAATATCCAAAAAAAATTATGTTTTTTCGAAGAAATAATCGAATTCGCTCGGGGATTTGGCATGGTTGGATTGGAGGTAGTGTCCTTGATGCTCGTTCGCCGTCCATCGTAAATCGGCTGGATGATATTGGTCATGATGGGGAGGGCGACATCTCGGACGTGTTTTTGTACCCTGAAAACCGAAAATTACAGTGCTACATGAAAATTTACATCTTTTTTATCTCTACGTATGTTAATTAGCATCAAACACCACTTATTTCCCCATAATTTCATCCAAAAAATCAATTTCCCACGATTTCCAGCCAAAACGCCACCAGTGTCAATTTAGTATATTGGTAGTGACTTACGACTACCACTCCAAAGGTCGCAGGTTCGATCCCTCCGGAACAAAACTTTTTGTAAACTCCCAATTTCATCCATCAACCCAAAAATTCCGACAAAACACATATCAAATTGACCCAGTTCATCTGTATTTTGCATTAAACTTCCCAAAAAGTTCAAAAAACCCGCAAAAACCCCCAAAACTCACCGTATTTTCCGTTTTTTGAGCCTTTTTTCCAAATCCTTTTGCCAAATCCACTTGGTAGATGATTCCACCATTCCAGTGCGTCTTCAATCACTTCCTCATTTTCTATTTCTTCTTCTTTTTGCCATTTTTCTTGGTTTCTTCCATTTTTTTGTGGTTTTTCGACTTTTTCATCAAAAATAGTAATAAATACAAAGTAATGAGAGTAAATTCCGTCTTTTTCTGTTCCATGCCGTCTTTTTGTTCATTTGTTTTCCATTTTATCCACTCCAACCTCCTGTACCTTTCTTCTTCACCGGGTGTTTTCTTTTTTTGGGGGGTTTTTAGTAAACTTTTGCTGTTTGCTCGACCTTTTCGTGGTTCTCTTGGCTCTGACCAACCTGCAAATACTCCAATTATTCATTTCCTATACATTAGCAAGACCATTTTATACGATGAAACCTGTTTTTACAAAAAAATTTCGATCGCATTTTTCATCGTATAAATTGTCACCCTAATCTCAAAAAGTAAAATAACCGTCTAATAGTCTAATTACCTCTCTAATCTAACCCATTTCCACTCATTCTAAACCAAAATTCACCAAAATCAATATTGGGCACGTTTCATCGTATAACACGTCCCAAACCTTCGCAAACTCCGCAAAACTATTCCAAATGTTTACCTGATTATTCTGATCGCCAAAACCTTGGGAACTCTGACTCGTTTGTGGCTGATTGTTGTTGTTTTGGGAATTTTTCATCGATCCCGTTGACAACTTCTTCGTTACCGTGCTCACATTGCTTTGGCCAGCATTATTGTTGTTGGCCTGATTCAATGTCATGCGGGCAATGGGTCTGACCACAGTGACCGTCTGATTCTGCGGTTGGTTTTGGTTGGGAGGCGCGGCTTGAGCCGAAGTTGAGGGTTGTTGATATTGGCTATGGGTGGGCTGGGTGCCAATGGGGGCTTGTTGGGGTTGGGAGTCGGTGGTGGTCATCGCAAACTGAAAAAAGAGTACAGGGTGTACCAAATTCGTGGCCCGATTTGAATTGGCTATAACTTCTTTAATTTTGGGCTAAATTTTAAAATTCTTTTTTTCCCTGAATCCTCAGACAACCCCATTTTGTCTGATACCAAATATGTTATACATAGGTAAGTGTCATCTACAGTTATTAGGTTTATTCTTGAAGTTCATTTTTTTTGGTCGTTTTCGGTTGTTTTTTCGGCCTTTCCCGGTGTGTCCGAAAATGGAGTACGGTGTGGAAGAAAAAGCTTGGTCTGTGGTTTGGTATGGCAAATACGGTTCGCCGATAAATGTTCAAAGGGAATAAAGGATGAAATACGGACGTAAGGCCCAACCCAGATCGCAAGACATTTCGGCGTTGGTGGAATAAGTTCCTTGAGATTGGCAGCGTTAACAGGAAACAAAAAAAGCAGGAAAGATGGGTACGAACGTAGCTGAAAATGGAAGAAGTTTAGTCAAAATTCCGAGAAAATCCGCATATGAGTACACGAAGTTTGGCCAGAACCGAGGGAATGCCTTCACCAAGGACCATTCGACGAACTCTGGAGGTTGATCTTCACTTTTTGTGCTTATTCTCATCGTCGATTTTCAGGAGTGGAAATTCCACCGTACTTTTCTTCCGCACTTCCATTTTCGGACACACCGGGAAAGGCCGAAAAAACAACCGAAAAACGACCAAAAAAATGAACTTCAAGAATAAATGCAATAACTGTAGATGACACTTACCTTTGTATAACATATTTGGTATCAGACAAAATGGGGTTGTCTGAGGATTCAGGGAAAAAAAGAATTTTAAAATTTGGCCCAAAATTAAAGAAGTTATAGCCAATTCAAATCGGGCACCGAATTTGGTACACCCTGTACTTTACATTCACGTGGATCCACCTCCTGTCGAATCCCTTTCTTTTTCGACCCTGCGTCCGGATAGTCTAGTGGATATTGGTTAAACCTACCACTACAAAGGTCGCAAGTTCGAATCCCCATAGAGACAAAACAAAACGACTATTACAAAAACACCTCCTTATGCGTGTTTTACCATCAAAAACTACACAAAAGGTCAAAAAAACCTTCATCTACAACCTCAATCCCAAAAATTGTATTTTTCCCTTCCACTACCATTTTATACGCCCAAAACTTTCTAGAATCCCCAAAAAACCCAACTTTTCCTGAATTTTATCCAAACCTTGTCCTTTTTAATCTCAAATCTCCGCAAATTCCCTGTCAACCCTTCCTAATCCTCTACTTCATCCAAAAACTTACATATGTTTGATCGGTGGTGACTTGCGGATGAACGTAGGTGGGTGCGACGACTCTGGCGACGTTCACCGCCGGTTGTTGGCCCATTCCGAAGCCGCTCTGGGTCAGATCGGTACTGAAATTGATTTTATTACCTTCTCAATCCCTTCTACATACTCTATGCCTAATTTTAACACCAAAATTAGACCTGTTTTGAGCTCAAAACGCCAAAATTTTCCAATTTCTTCAACTTTTCGCCTAAAATCCAAGAAAAATCAAAAAAAAAACACTTACTTAAAATAAGCAATCGGCTGCAAATGGTTGGTGGGGAGTTGCTGCTGCTCCACTTGATAATTGGGGAGGACATTGTCGTCCTCGACTCGCCTATGAATATTGGCCAGCTCGTCTCCTTGATCTCCATACGGCTTGTGCAGAGAATCCGGGACTTGTTGCGACATCGACAGAGCTCCCAGCTCGCTGCCGTATCTCTGTTGATGCTGTTGACTTCGGACCATGTTTCCGAAGCCCTCATCGGCCGTTCCCTTGTACAAAAACGGGTGACGGACCGCTTCTTGGGCGGTGAGCCGCTTCACCGGGTTGTATTCGAGCATTCTCAGGATCAGTTCCTTGAATTTCTCGTAGTCCTCGGCGCCGTGACCCGGTTCTCCGTATCGGCGACCGTATGGGCCGCCCATGTCAACGCCCAAAACGTCATGAAGACGTCTTGTCGCGGGCAGTTTGTAGGTGGTTTTGGCGTCGCGGGAGCGTCTCGGGACGTATTCTCCTTCTGAAAAATACTCATTTAGACCAATCGCACATCTTTTTATCACTTCTCAGTCAATTTCCCATCAAAATCCGCTGAGAGAAACACTTGACTCAAAAATTTATATTTTTGGGTCAAGTGTTCCTCTCACCCCAAAACTGACAAATCTCTATTCCAAAGTATCCTATCCTTTTTTCTCACTCTAATAAGCTTTAAAACAACTCGAAAAAACGTTGTTTTAAGGCTGATTGGAGTGAGAAGAAAGGATATGATACTTTGGAAACCTCTTGTCTTACTCTCATTCAAAGTGAAGAATCTTTTAGTTTTTGGGGACACATTGAGCATATGTGCCGGTGGGATTCCCATAACCTCGACGATTCGCATCATCTGGTCGTATTCCGAGTGCCCCGGGAAGAGGGGCTCTCCGGTGTGTAACTCGACCAAAATACAGCCCAACGACCACATGTCAATCTGTCGGCCATAACTCAATCCTAGCAAAACCTCGGGAGATCTGTAGAATCTCGACTGGATGTACTGGTAAATCCGGTTGTCGTACTGACACGACGATCCAAAGTCGATTATCTTGATCGTCGACCTCTTCGGGTTGCATAAAAGCACATTTTCCGGCTTCAAATCGCAATGGATGATATTGAGGTCGGGTTGGGCCAAAAAGCAGAGAGTGTGGGCCAATTGTTGGCCAAACTTGCGGGTGAGGTTCAGGGACACTCCACGGAAGTTGGTGTTGCGCAACAAGTCGTACAAGTTGTACGAAAGTAGTTCAAAGACCAGGCACAGATGCTTGCGCCATGTGAAGGAGGTCTTCAGTTTGACTGAAACAAGTTCAAATATTACATGCATAGTCTGAATAGTCTAATAAAAGCATTATTTTCCCACTAAAACATCATCACCTTCTCCACGAAACTTACCGACACAACTTCTGGCCTCGGAATGATGGGAATTCAACAATTCCAGCAGTCTAATCTCAATCCTGGCCTGATCATGGAATGGTTTCTTGTTCTTGATGATCTTCAGCGCAACATTATCATCCTCCAACATGTCGTAACACTTCACAACTTGTCCGAACGACCCTTTTCCGATGTTCTTGTCCACGCGGTACCGGTAATTGATCACTTCGCCAATGGTGATTCTGTAGTCGTAATTCTCATCGTCCTTGGACTCCTGACTTTCGGAGCGAATTTCGCCGGCAGTTAGGGGTACCAGGGGGATTTGGCCGGCCGGGTGCATTTGAACTTGATGTGGTTGTGGGTTCTGTGGAGGCGCCGTTCGAATGTTTGACATGCCCAGGAGTTGAGACTGAAAAACGAACCATTAAACTTCCGTTTCCGCATGTGACATCTTATACGACGGAAGTTGCCAACGAATTTTCGTTCAGACATGTTTCATCGTATAAGACGTTACTACTATCAAAAACACTATCAAGCCGACTTTCGTTTACTCCTCTTACATTTCAGACCTAAACACATTCAAACAAATAAATTCGCTCACCATATTCGGCACTGGATTCTGCATCTGGTTGATGTTCAAATTTCCCATGCCCAAGTTGCCCTGATGCATTTGATATTGATTTTGCATGACCATGGGTTGGTTCTGGTCGTGTTGGAGGTATTGGGACATCTGAGGCATCGAATGCACAGTGCTGAGGGTCTGTTGTTGTTGGAGTTGTTGGTTTTTGGAGAGCTGCTGGCTCTTTTTGATGGCTTCCTGGCGTCTTTCCTCATGACGTCGGCGGATCTTGCGGTTGTAGTAGTTCTAAAATCAACGGGGAATGTTTTGAGGACAACACCATTTCGGAAATCATGACGGCTTTCGAGGTACAAAAGATTTTTTTGGAATTCGTTCGATCAAAAATTTTGAAAAACTTTTTCATCGTATAAAATGTCACCTATCAGCAAAATCACAAAAATTTTTGTATCGTTAGCCAGCTTATTGTCTCAGCTTTCTAATGATGTATAATAGGTGAAATTTTATACGCCAAAACATTTCCAAAAAACCAAATTTCCCCACCCACCTCATTGATGTTCTTGTAGGTGGTAATCAGATTCACCGACAATCTGACAACCGGCCGATCGTCTGAGCTCCTCGGTTTCGAATCCTCCGGCTTCTCTTCCTTCTGTACATCGGATGGTTTGCGTTGGATCTGCTGTGGGTTCTGATAAAACTGCTGACTTGTGCTGGGTTGTTGACTATGGTCAAAGTTGTTGTAGTAACTTCCTTGGGGCGGTTGGACGGCTCTATTTTGATTCATTGGGTAGGACATCATGTAATTGCCGTAGCCTTGCGCTGGTTGTTGATAGTCATAGGCGGGTTGGTTGGGGATGAATTGGCCCGGTTGGCGATATTGGCTCTGATCCATGCCCCAGGTTTGCGCGGGCTGCGGCGGATAGTAGGGCTGCTGGAAAATGGGCTGGACCGGCTGTTGAGTGGCGGGAGCCGGCAAACCAACTAGTCCATCAGCGGATTCATAGTAAATCCCCGACTGCGCTTGGGGATATTGGGTTTGTTGGATGGACTGGGTTTGCGGCGGCTGCGACTGATCCCATTGATCGTATTGGCCCAAGACCTGCGACATGGCCAGCCCTTGGAATTGTTGTTGGAGGAAGTCGAGGTTGAGCGGCGGCTTCAGTTGCTCCACTTTGATTTCCTATTGAATATCAATAAAATTCTGACGATTTGAGCGAAAACTGATATCAAAGGCGAGTGTTTTTGATATCGGCGAAAGGTGAAAGCGCGCTTATCTTGCGCTCGAAGCTCCTGCACTCCACTATCTGCGAAACGGAAAACAATCCAGGGTTGTAAAAACGAAAAATCCAGCCAAATATGTAGATGTGGAGGGAGGAGGTCAAGTGCAAGGTCGAAAGACTCTCTGATGGTGTAGAAATTGGTCAGCGAAGAAGTCTTTCGGGCTTCAGAAGCGGGGAAAGGCAAAAATCTGTGGGGTCCGCCTCAGAATCGTCGAAATCTGGCACGTGTGGTGGTCGAGATGGTGTTGATGTGGATTTCGATTTTTCTGCGGGTCGGATGGCAAATTTTAAGTGGTTTTCAAGTCGGGCAGGATTTCAACACGTTGAGGTACCTGAAAATCATAGCAGGTATTAATCGACTCGATATTTTTAGCCGGACTTTTCAAAAAACCCCCGGCATGGAGAATATCCGATGCACCTCCAGAAAAACGTCGAAACAATAAATTGCCGGTAAAGATTTTGAATGAATCGTTTCTAAAATCGAAGAACACAAACTGCTCAAGCTTTTAACTTACAATTCACTCGTTCTTCGGTCAAATTCCTCGAGATTCGACCAAAATCCCTTTGGTCAGTTGAAATCTCCGAAAACCTTCAAAAATCGCCCGTTATAAAGCGAATTTCTCCGGTTTCTGTGGTGAACTACCTGACGAAGAGTGGAACACTTCCCAACGAAAAGCCTCACGGTTCAAAAACGCCTGAAATTGCGAGAAATTTTATATTACACTAGAGGAAATTAATGGTGAACAAAAACGCGGGAGGAACGTAATTGAAATTGCTGGTAAAAGGCGCGTAAACAATGGGGTAACACCAAGTGCAAGGTGGGAAAAAGCTGTCAAACGCGACAGAAAAATTACGTGAGCCGTGGACGAAAAGCCACGGACTTGTGACATTTCGTCAGACTATTGATTTTTTCACTGATAAGGGCGGAAATGACGAGAAACTGGGTGGAACTAGTAAAATATAGTCTGTTCAGTATTTAATAAGTAATAATTATCAATATAAAACCATTTGACATCAAGTTTTCAATGAATTATTCTGCGTTAAGGCGACTAAAAGAAAAATGCCCCGAGGGCGTGAAACCTACAAAAAAATTTGGCGGAAACTTTAGCCAACCGAAGACCAAGACTTCTAGCGAAGTGTGAGAAAAGACGGCGGCGGCAAGTTACAAGTTTTGGTACTTAATTTACGACCGCTTATCTGGTATTACACTAGCTACAATTTCCCCACTTGAAATGCAGCGGCCCCGTAACATTTCCCAACAATCAACCCACAAGACTGATAGACAAACTGCTTTTCTCCAAAAAGTAGCGAAAACAAGCGAAAGGAGTGTTACGAAACCGGGCCCTGGGAAAACGGTGAGATTCAAAGTACAAAGTAGACTCTTTCTCGCATCAGAACTCATATTCCGCCGGTTTATACGCTCTGAAAGCATAGAGCAGCTGAGGAACTCGAGACAGACTCGAAATTAATCGAATTGAAAAGTTTTTCGAGCAAAAACGGCTAAAAAGAGAAAAAAACAGCTGAAATCAGAGGAAAAGATCGGTTTCGCCGGGAGGCCGGCTTGGCTCCACGTCGGAAAAGTTTATTACGAGTGTGTAAACAGTTCGACGTTCCAAGGACATTAATCATCGCCCATGAATCGGCTTCGTTTGCCCGAGGCGATCAAAAGATTTAAATTCCGAAACGTTTTTGTCTAGTACAATATTAGTGGAAGAAAAGAGTCGAAACAAAGCCTAAATTGCGTAATCTCTCTTGAAAATAGTTTTTTCAAACATTTTTATGTAATTACAGATAGAATGACGACATAAAATACGATAATTTTTTCGCGGGAAATTCAAATTTTAATTTTTTTTATAAGTCCCGTCATATATCCCCTAAGGCTTTGGAAATAAAAATAGAGGATTTCCAACGCCATTATCGTCATATAATCTACTTCCGTCATCAATTCAATTGCATTGAACACAATGCCAAGATTTTGAAAATTTGGCGGGAAATGCGAATTTTCAAACTTACAAACGGCCGGAGATGGTCATAATAGCATGAATTCGAAAGCAAGGACAAAGTAAGGGATCAAACATTAAGTGTACTTCCACAAAAAAACAACTACTTTTGCACTTTTTAGCACAGTGCAGTCTCCGCGGGAAATTCAAATCTCTATTTTTGGAAAATCGTCAAAAATAGCTACAAAAAGACTAAAGTGGACATTGATGAGGAGTATAATGAAATAATATGAAATTTTAAGGCACCTTGAGATGTCATTTCTATCGAAATTTGAATATTTTCCCAAGAACTACACTAATATCCAAAACAAATGAAAAATCTCGAAATTCCAGGAATTAGATGACGAAAACCACGAAAACCTCCCGGACCTACGGCAGAAAATAGAAAACATAAGCGAGCGGGTCGTTAGAGTCTCCCCGGAGGGCCAAAAAACGAGCGAACGAAATTCTTTGGCGGCGGGAATTGCGCTAATGTGCAGAGATTACTGCGCTCGTATGTGAATGGGTAGGGTTAATCCTTTTCACTGTTCCACATTGCCAAAGGGCTAGGTTTTCGAGGGCTGGAGAATCTTGAAGTTTCTGCAAGGGAATTTTGAGATTTTTAGAGGAAAATGAAGATAGGGCAGGGGTAAAAAGAAAGGTCTGTAACTTCGTACTGCTATGTACGATTTTGAAAAAAATTATGGTATTTTAAAGAGGAAGTCATAGTCATATTAACGAAATTTGTATCGAATATCGCTTTTAGGTAGGAAAAAAAGTTAAATTTTTAAGGTTACCCTCAAAATTTTCAAAGAAAATGATGATTTTACAAAATTGCTTGTAACTCGGTACAACTTCATGCAATATATAAAATTATTTTACTTCACCAACCACGAAAGAAAAACGTATTTTAAAAAACAAACACAGCGTCGAACCTCTCGCGTATCCCTTTCAAAAAACATCTTCTTCCCCACCTACTACAAGGTCCTAAAATATCTTTTCGGCCCGTCAAATCCAGTCCAAATCCGCCGGCACTGAAAAGATAACCGCACTAATTGGTGTAATATTACAGTATGTGGTTTCGCAATCCCGAAGACTAAGTGTAAGACCAAATAACAACTAGTTGTTTATTGTTTTCTCCGGCGCAAATTTTAGTGTTCAGCAAAAACGGAAAAGACCCGAAAAATGGGGGTTATCATCGAAGCTGTTGCTGGATGATATGCGGCGCTGATAGTCAAAGGAGTAATGAAGAAATACTGTAGTTTCTAGGGTTTTAGCCTGAGGGGTTTTGGAGGGGTGATCGATTCTTTAAAGGCTGTAAAATCGAGATTTTCGAAAATTTTTACGTCAAATTCAGGATGTTAGAGGGTAAAATAGGTGGACAGAAGATCATCGCAAGCAAATGGCAGAAAATACTGCAGTTTTCAATATCAAAAATAGCTACAAATTGCTTGAAAACTTCAAAAACTCCCATTTTTCCCAAAAAATCACCCAAAAATCAAAAAATGTCATCGTATTTACATTTTTTTGTTAATTCCTCATAATTAAATCAACACAAAGCAACCTATAAGCTTCTATACCATTTATACTACGGTTTCCCACCCATGCCCCGGCTAAAATACGGGTTATAATCCCCGAAGCTTATCCCATTTCGAAAGTCCTGAAAAATATTGAGATTAGAAACGTGGTATCTCAAATCACCAACCCATGGAGACAATATGCAATCAATGGCAACACTAATCCCTCGTTAATACTTCCAGACTGCGGAAATTTGAGTGGAAAATATCAAATTTATGGGAAAAATGATGATTTTCGGGGGAATTTAGGGATTTTATTATGAAATACGATGAAATCGGTTGGTAACTGAAGTAATTATTGATTACATATGGTCTATGAGGCATGATGATCGAATTTATATTTGATTTACTTCAGTGATAACACGGTTTTCGATCAAAAACGGGTCCAAAATCCGAAGGGTCCATCTGATGTGATGTATAAGATAAAACGCGCTAAACTACGTCAAAATATGCAAATACAAAGTGGGATTGCATGTTATTCGATACTTTGAGACACCGAGAAACCTACGAAAATATCATTTCCCCCCTAAACCAGAGGGGGAATCCACGTCATCCGCCCGAAGGCATCAACCCTTTGCAGCGCCCAAATTTAGACGCTCAATTTCCGCAAGCCCTGCGGGCCAAAACAGTTGTGAAATTTTTTGGAAATTACACCGGGGCGCCAAAACAAGAGACGCCCGCTCGCCACGCACACGTCCTACAGCTATAAAAATGGGTTTGCGGGTGGTGAGAAAGAGAAAAAGACGTTGTACTTGGTCGGGGACGGACGGAGGGAGAGAGAGCGAAGCGAAAAGACGCGAAACCCTCCGTCCCTGCCACCCCACCGACGGGCACACCGCACCACGAACCTCCACACAGCCCGTCCGCTCTCCACCACTCTCTTTTCGAGCCCCCGAGAGAGCGGGGGCGATGCGGAGAGACAAAATTTGGCCAGACAAAAGTGTGGCGAGAAGAGAGCGCGAGAAATCGACCAAAACGCCGGGAAGAAGGGGGAATAAAAGGGTCGGGCTCGCCGAAGAAAAGTTCAGCTATCCCCGCCAGACCCAACAGAATGTCGGGCGGAATGGAGTAGCCATCGTAGACGCTGTGTTCCATCGCAAGCGCCGAGAGCCGCTTTTCCGCCCGCAGGCGGCTGGAAATGGGGCCGCGAATCACTTCCCGAAAATTTTTTTTTTGAAAAAAATGTTAATTAGACCAACGTGGAGAGGACCGCCAGCAGGACACGTGTAAAATACGACAGCAATTTTTTTTCGAAATATTTTTGAAATTTTT